AAAATCATTTCAACCATAAAATCTAATGTCAAAATATTCATTCATGGGGACAAGTCCAAGTTGATCATTTAAAAGGGAAAAATTTTTATTCGAAATGTTTATGCAAATTCAATATTTAACATATTTCTTAATACCCTGTTTTATTTTATCATAATTAAAATTTAAAGAAAATGTTATGAATTTTTTTTAACCAACCATCATTGAGATGCTTACAAATCTCTTCCAATTTACCCTAATGTGCTATAAAATGATCATTTTCTCTATGTGCCATGATAGGAAAGGATTATTTATAAAACTGTCTGCTACCCCAATTTACTCTAGGGCCTGTATTCCCTCTTCTCAGCTCCATATAGTCTTTTCTCTCATTTCCAAAGACAGCCAGGACTATAAGGTTTGATAGAAATCAAGTTTGTGCCCCCACAGGTCAAGAACGAAGAGTAGGGTGTTGTTAGAGTAAACCAGTCGCTAACAACACGTGGGGTGGGGTTTGTAGGGGCAATTGTATGGCTATAATATATAAAGATCATAAAGTCATAGGAGAAATAGGAGAGAGAGAGTAAAATAAAGGAGTCAGACACATTTCATGGTAGCATGCTCACCTCTGGGGCAGCCATGTCTGAGCAGAGAGAGGGAGGAGGATAGGAGACCCTTTTTATTTCTGACCAAGGCCTATATATATTGGGTGCAAGCCCTCCTGATTGTAGGTAACCACATACGTCACAGGGAAGGGTTGTGCACTAGGCATATGCATCACAGGAAGGGGCTGAGCTAGGGGGTGTACACATAATGGGAAGGGGATGAACTAGGGGTACACATGTGACAAGATGGGCAGACCCTAGATTCAAGATGGCAGACTAACCTTGGTCCTCCTTGAGTTGAATTGACCTATTCTGAGCTGTCCTTCAGGAAAGCAATCCACTATCCTTATCAGCAGGGCGTAGGTCCCACCTTCGGGTGGTGGGACAGACCATAGTGTATCATTGCCTGATGCCCTCAGGGAGAATACCTCTAAGCAGCTAAACTCTCATGCATTAGCAAGCAGCAGACAACCTGGGGAAAACCTTTCTGTATCTCACAGGGTGTGATCCAAGGATTGTAAATAATAAAATCTAAATCTAAATCCAAAAGAGGAAAAGGTATCAGAGCTTAAATTCTGCCTGAAATCTACTTGCAGGGTCCACACATAGATTAAGCCTACAGTGAATCCCCTGTGATCATGGTGGAGGGATGTGAATAGCCTTGTTAACAGGCATAGAGCATCGTAAAGTTGATTATGGCAGATGTAGTTAGAGTAAAATGTAATATCTTATGATTTGATTTCCCCTTTGAGCTCTTTCTTTTTCCTTTTGGCCTACTTTAGTTGTTTCCATTTAAAAAAAAAAGTAAAGGGGCAATACACTTGGATGAAGCCTCTGGTCAATCCCCTCTGACCATAGACCAGGGATGTAAATAGTCTTACTATCATGCAGAATGCAATGGAAAGTGGATTAATGCAAATGCAATTACGTTAACAAATTAACACCTTATCATTTGATCTCCCTTTGATCCATTTAAAATTTGTTCTAGTCCTTAATATTTTCTGCTTTCTTTTGGATTGAGGTTTTTGTTTTATTTTTCTGTTTGTTAATTGTTTGCTTTTTAAAAATTTAATGTTTTCTGTATATGAGATCCAAGATTATTAATCTATAGAAGCAATAATTGGATTAATGGTTCCTTGGGGATATAGCCGGGGAGGTTAGGGGAAATGGAGAATTAATAATGATGAGTACAAGAACAAGGAAAATGTTTTAAAACTGATTGTTCAACTCTTCTGGATGTAACTGAACTACTGAATTATATGACAAGTAAATTATATGCCCATAAAACATAAAAAGGTTGTAGGGGGGAAAAAAGAAATAAAGAGCATGAGTTTTTGTATCTAAGATACCATGTGGTTCCAGGGCTGGAGTGCATGCTTAGACAAAAACAGTTAATGTCTAGAAACCTCAAATGGTCTAGATTAACAACAAATTTGGTGAACAGAAAGCATGGAGAAGGACAAAAAGCGAGACTTCAAAAATGGACAGATACATTTTGGATGGGAAAACTAAGTATTCCATTCTCTCATTCCTCAAATTGATATAAAAAAGTAATACAATCCAAGAGAAGAACCAAACGTCGGTTATCGCCATTAGCCCACACCCACACCCACACCCACTGATGCTCACTGCTATCAAGTTGATTCCAGCTCACAGCGACACCACATCACAAAACGGAACTGCTTCCAGGGTTTCCAAGACTGTAACTTGTTCTGAGAAAAAAGTCTCCTTTCTCCTGCATAGCGGCTGGTGGTTTCAAACTGCTGGCCTTGTGGTTAACGGTTAGCAGCCCAACACAGCCAAGGCTCCTTGACTTTAGCTAACACCTAGTAAAACATGCCTTGAAGAGAACTCAAAAAACACTGAACTCACTGCCATCAAGTCAATGCTGACCCACAGTGACACTATAGGACGGGGTAGGACTGCTTCAGTGAGTTTATGCGACTGTAATTCTACAGGATCAAGGATTGCAAGTCTTCAGGATGGATGATAACTCCATGTAAAGAAAACCAAACTCCTCATAACTGGACCAATAGGTAACAGCATGATAAAGGGAGAAGAGGTTGAAGTTTTCAAGGATTTTGTCATTCTTGAATCCATTATCAATGCTCATGGAAGCAGTAGTCAAGTGATCAAAAGACAAAATTACACCGGGTACATCTGCTGCACAAGACCTCTTCAGAGTATTGAAAAGCAAGGATGTTACTTTGAGGACTAAGGACTGCCTGACCCAACTCATGGTATTTTTAGTATATGTGCCGCTGAAGCAAGCACTCAACTCATGGTATTTTTAATCACCTAGCATGCATGTGAAAGTTGGACATTGAAAAAAGAAGACCGAAGAAGAATCAATACATTTGAATTGTGGTCCTGGAGAAGTATATTGAAAGTACATAGACTTCTAAAAGGACAAACCAAACTGTATTGGAAGAAGTAAGGCCAGAGTATTCCTTAAAGGTAAACATGGCGAGACTTCATCTTATATGCTTTAGACACGTTGTCAGGAGAGACCAGTCTCTACTGAGGACATCGTGTTTGGTGAAGGAACAGTGAAAAAGCACTTTTCTGGTGTCCAAGTCCCAGGGAGGAAGTTATATGTAGATCCTTTTAATCGGTTCCCCGGTTACCATCTTCTTTCTTTTTAAAATCATTTTATTGGGGGCTCATACAACTCTTACCACAATCCATACATACATCCATTGTGTCAAACACATTTGTACATTCATTGCCCTCATCATTCTCAAAACATCTGCTCTCCACTTAAGCCCTTGGTATCAGCTCCTCGTTTTCCCCCCCTCCCCCCTCCCTCATGAACCCTTGATAATTTATAAATTATTATTTTATCATCTTCTTAAAGCCCCTGATTTTGCATTTTTTCTATGAACCCAGTGTTGATCAATTTCCCAAGATTGTTTCATAGTCATCAAAATACATCAGAATAATCTATCAGGAAACCTTGATATATTAACCACATCCTAAGAATATAAAATTTTTGTTTTCTCAATCAGTTGTTTAAATACCTTAAAGTTCAGTTGTGAACTAGAGCAAGAGAAGACTAGGTAGAATGAAAGGAAAGGCTGTTTCTCCGAAATAGCATAGGTCTGGTACTGGCTTTCTGTCCCAGAACAGAGTGTCTTTTGTTCATATTTGCCAAATTCAATCCCTGTCCCCCTGGAGGAATGTTAGATAAATATCAACAAATTCTTCTTGTTGCCTTCTCTTTTCTCAGACTCCTCCCCATTTGTTAATGTAAAATTTTTTGTTCCAAAGAATTCACAATATAATTGGTTATCATTTCAAACTGCCAGAAGGCCAAGCCCATTCTAAAACAGTTTCTTACATGGATTCCTAAATTAAAATATAAAGCAGTTTCTAGCTGGGTAGGGGTATTTGTCGAGTATGGTTACTTTCATCAGCCATTTTTGTTTTATCTCTCTAGAGAACCCTGTCTAACACAAGTACTGGATATGAAATTATGCTTTTTGGAGTTCACCTAATCCCATCCCAGTTTTTCCCACCCCATCTCCTGTTTATAACTTTTTAATCCACTCTGTTCATTATGTTGCGATTGAAAACAGATGATCACATGAAAGAAAAATAACTCGCAAAACACTAGATCTGGCGACCTTGCTTCTTAATCTTTCCACTCAGTTCTTTAAAATGTATCCACTAGAACAGATGCACCAGTAAATGGAAAAGCGTTAGCAAATAGTGCTCAGATTTCTTGAGATCAGTGAGTATCTAATGAGCTGACCTCGACCAGTTCCGCCTCAGCTCGTTAAGAGGACAAAATCTTTGTCAGCAGGGCTTCCTAGGCTTTCCCAAGGTGGCCGTAAGTCACCGTGGCGGGACTGCAGGGACTATGCATGGCAGCCATAGAAACGGTCCCTGGCATCTGGGAGACGGACGGGACCATGCCAAGGGCCGAGAAAGATTTCCTGTAACCTTATAGTACAGGAAAGGAAAGCCCTTGGCTTTCATTTTATGTCAGGAAACGGGGTGCAATGCATTTGGAAAAAGAGACCCCGAGGCCTGCGGGGGGAGGGGAAAGAGGCGCGAGAAGAAAGGAAAGGCCTTTCTCTGGGGTGACGAGCAGTCACGCGGCGTGGTCCCGACGTGGGTCCTCGCCATTGGCTGAGCCGGAGCTGACGTCCTGGCGGCCGCTCGGCGCGAAGCGCAGCAAGGGCGGTGCCGCCCTGGAAATCGGGGAGGTGCGCGCGCCCCCGCGACCCGCCGCGCGCCCTCCGCCCGCCCGCCAACCCGCTCAGCCAGTCACTCTTCGCGCCTGCTTCGCCCCGCCCCTTTCCCAGCTCGCCCCGCCTCCACCAGGCCGGCGGCGCGCGGAAAGTGCGTCACGTGACGACTGGCCCCGCCTCTTCCTCTCGGTCTCATATTGAACTCGAGTTGGAAGAGGCGAGTCCGGTCTCAAAATGGAGGTAAAACCGCCGCCCGGTCGCCCCCAGCCCGACTCCGGCCGCCGCCGCCGCCGCCGGGGGGAGGAGGTATTAGGAGGAGAGCGGGGGGTTGTTGGGTGATGGCCGGCGTGGGGGGGCCTGGCTCGGTGGGAGCGGGGAGGCCGGGTGGATGGGGTCGGCCGTCCCGCGCTCGGCGCGGAGACGGGCGGTGGGAGGGGGAGGGGAGCGGGCCTCGGAGGCCTCCCCGGGGTCCCTCGTTTGCCTCGTCTTCTCTTTAGGCCGTGCAGGCGACTCTTCGAAGGCTTGGCGTGGCTCTGGGGGCCTCGGAAGGGTAATGGGCCCGCCGACCGCGCGGCCCCGGATCGTAGGCCGAGGGCAGCATGGCGGGCCTCGGCGGGAGCGGTTGGGACGAGGCGGTGGGGGAGGGGAGGGGACGAGCAGGCACATCCGGGCCAGCGAGCGGGCGGGCGGCGGCCACATTGACATGGATCCGCTGCCGCGTTACGAAATGGCGCATTGGCCCGCAATGGCCGCCCTTCGCTCCGCCACCGGCAGGAAGCGCGCGGGATTGGAGGAGGGAAGGAGCAGTAGGCGGCTCGGCAGAAAGGGCCGCAAAATGGCTTCCAGGCTGAAAGCCTAGTGATTTCGCCCAAGTTCTGCCGCTTGTTTCCAGGCCCGAAGAGATGTATCAGCAGCTTGGAGAATTCCTTAAATTCCCCGACCCGTTGCACCCAGTTGAAAATGAGGTTTTGAAAAAGTTTGCTCCTGTGAAAAAGACTCAGGGACCCTACCGTTCTTAGAATAATTTACAAACTACTATTTGGGTTAAATACTCCTGCTTTGAATGTAGATGGGAAGGAGGAACTTAAAAATGCTATCTCCACGTTTCCGCGTGCTTCTCTGTTGATTCGGCTCTGGTTGTAGTCTCGAGTTTTTGTTTGGAAAACCGCAACCACAGTTGAAATTTTCATAAGGGTGATGATGATTTTATGTGGGTTTTAACTTTTTATGCGTAAGGCAACGGGTTAGAATTCAAACACTGTTGGGAATGTAATCAGTTTAACTTGCGAGGATGAAATTAACCATGCTGTAGGCTATTAACCCTATAACTTTTTTTCTAGCGTGATTTCCTTCGGTTAAATAAATGCCTTAACATCTCTACTTCTAGAAGATACAGTAGGAAGACATTAGACTGTGAGCCCGTTTATTTAAAGCCTTTGGATGAACAAGATCTTAATGCATGCTCTAAATGGCAGCTTGTGTAATTTAAAACTTTTGACTAGATAATTCAGGCCACATCTAGAGTTTTTTAAGACAAATCTCAATTTACTGTGTCTCTTCTGGTTAGAGTGGCAAGTCTTATGTAAGCCCAATGTGCTCAGTGAAAATATGTTGTAACTGAAATTGTTCCTGTATGAGAAAAGTACAAAATGATGATTTTTGCAGTAAGCTGGAACAGAAAGCTATCAAATAAGTAATGGGGATTTTTTTGACTGTGAAGAAGTGTAGGTCTGGTCTTTTCTTGAGCCCAAGTAATACCTGTTGTAATAATACTTTGCCTAAAACTAGTGAACTCTAAATTTGCTATTCAGAACTTTTTAGTTGTATTTTTAGATTTGTGATTTAGAGCTTAGAATGTAAGTATGGTTAGGGCACTCACTGTCTTTGTTACTTTTGTTTCTTAGAAAGTAGCCTTATAAACAACTTTGAAAAGTAATTTAGCCCAAGACACTTGGTTAAACGACAGTGAGAATTGGCTTTTGGAAGTGTTAGATTGCAATTTCATTGGAAGTGATGTTAACATTTGGAAAGGGTTGTTGGAACTATTTAGTTTCTTTACCTAACTTTATCAGTTACTGTTAATATTACTACATTTTTTTAACTGGGCAAAGTGTAAATGTTATAGAAATTTAATGTTGAATATACCGTTTTCGGTTAATGAGACTGAAGATTAGGCTGAGAAATGATGGAATGTATTCAGACTTTGCTTCTTTTCCTCAGGGTCATGACCCAAAGGAACCTGAGCAGTTGCGAAAACTGTTTATTGGTGGTCTGAGCTTTGAAACTACAGATGATAGTTTAAGAGAACATTTTGAGAAATGGGGCACACTCACAGATTGTGTGGTAAGTTAGTTACTAAAGGAATGAAAATTCCTTGGGCTAGTGAGTGACTTGCCTGTTTCAATGCTTTGAAATTTTTATCTTGTAGGTGATGAGAGACCCCCAAACAAAACGTTCCAGGGGCTTTGGTTTTGTGACTTACTCCTGTGTTGAAGAGGTGGATGCAGCAATGTGTGCACGGCCTCACAAGGTTGATGGGCGTGTAGTGGAACCAAAGAGAGCTGTTTCAAGAGAGGTACTTTAGTAAAAATCTGTAATGGCTGAAATGGTTGTCCAAAGTGGTATTTTGACTTATTACTTTTTGATTCTGTAGGATTCTATTAAGCCTGGTGCCCATTTAACAGTGAAGAAAATTTTTGTTGGTGGTATAAAAGAAGACACAGAAGAGTATAATTTGAGAGACTACTTTGAAAAGTATGGCAAGATTGAAACCATAGAAGTCATGGAGGACAGGCAGAGTGGGAAAAAGAGAGGATTTGCCTTTGTAACTTTTGATGATCATGATACAGTTGATAAAATTGTTGGTAAGTAGCAATTTATTAGAATTGGAAATGTGGCAGAAATAGCCTCTTAATCAATATTGTATATTGTTAAGTTGCTTGTGGTTGTGTAGTATGCATAACTACATAGTATAGAGTTCAGTTTTTACAAAGTGGTTGCATTTGTGTAACCACTTGGGCCCAGGCATGAGTGCTATTAATATTCCTAAATAAACCCTTGTGCTCAGTGACTGCTTTTTTGATGGTGTTTTAATGAGTTACACTGTGCTAAAGGGAATCATTTATGTGTGATTTCTCAACATAATAACTTGTTTGATTAAAAAATTTTTTAGTTCAGAAATACCACACTATTAATGGGCATAATTGTGAAGTGAAAAAGGCTCTTTCAAAACAAGAGATGCAGTCTGCTGGATCACAGAGAGGTGAGTTAGGCCCATAGAAACTTGGGGCACAAAATGGATTTTTTGTGTGGTGCTTTTAAGAGTCCAAAAACTGGTTCTCTCTCTCTCTCTCTGTTTTCAAGGTCGTGGCGGTGGATCTGGCAACTTTATGGGTCGTGGAGGAAACTTTGGAGGTGGTGGAGGGAACTTTGGCCGTGGTGGGAACTTTGGTGGAAGAGGTATGGTGATTATGTGTTATCCAGGACATGTGTACCTCAAATGCTTGGTGAGTTGATTTTGTAATGTTTGCTGTCTTTGCTGTTCCGCAGGAGGCTATGGTGGTGGAGGTGGTGGCAGCAGAGGTAGTTATGGAGGAGGTGATGGTGGTTATAATGGTTTTGGAGGTGATGGTAAGATTTTTAAATTGCTTGCTTCGGTAACCTATCAAATTGTATTTAATCTCATTTTAGTGAAAATTTGCTAGACTTGAAAACCTGCCTTTAAAACTGGTTCAATAAAAAGAAAAAGGCCTTTTGCCCCTCGAAAGTTGGCCATCAGCTAGACCTTCTTGAGGCAGCCCTGGGGTGCTGTGGGCTGATGGCAGTGGTTCAAACCTAGCTGCGGTTCAAACCTAGCTGCTGCAGGGAAGAAAGACGAGGTGTCATCTGCTCCAGTGAAGAATTAGAGCCTTGGAAATGAGATAGAGGGTGGCAGTTGACTTCATAGCAATTGGCAGGGGGGGTTAGCTTTGTTTGAGGGGGTGGGGGTGGTTCTTATTGACTATAATTAGGAGCACCTGGGTGATTTAAGGACTCAGTTGCTAACTAAAAGCTTGGCATTGTAAAGCTCCACTGGCGAGCTGTTTCTGCAAAGATTTAGAACCTTAAAGACTCTGGGGCAGTTGGGGTATGTGGGGTTATTTAGAATTGGAATAAGTGGACAGCAAGCGAGTTTGAGTCTGGTTCAGAGCCCTGGAAATGTAGTGGTTATGTGCTTGCCTGACTGTCAACCAGAATGTTGGCAGCTTGAAACCTAAGAAGAGCTCCTTGCAGGTAGAAACAATGTTTTTGTCTACTGTCCTGGATAGCAGCCGTTTGGATTGGGTGTGAGAGTGGGGTAACTCCAACCACTAGAGGAAAGGCTGGGGATTGTAGCTAACTGCATGGTATCGCAGAAAAGTACTAGGTGATCTGGGAAGTCTGCCATTCACACTATGAACCACAGTTATACCCTTAATACACTTGGAATTACTGTGAGTTGGAATTGGCTTACTGGCAATTGCTTTATTGATAAACAGTTTGAGGCATTAGCAGTTAAGCTGTAGTACTGTCTTAGTGAGGTGGGGATATTTTTTCCTATGTAAGAATAACTAGTTTTTCATTTTGATATGACAAGACATTTAAAGCATTTCTAGCCCAGTTTAATCAGGTGTTATCAGACTGCACTGATACTGTTTCTGTATGACCTTATTTTTTTAGGTGGCAACTATGGCGGAGGTCCCGGTTATAGTAGTAGAGGGGGCTATGGTGGTGGAGGACCAGGATATGGAAACCAAGGTGGTGGTGGTGGATATGGTGGAGGTGGAGGATATGATGGTTACAATGAAGGAGGAAATTTTGGCGGTGGTAAGCTATTCACAAGTTCTTAATGTTTAATGTTTGGGATGGATGTATATTAAAAGATAATCTGATCAAATTCTATGCGCTATAATTTTAGAAAATATAATCAGGTGTTTGGTAATTAAAGTTATTTGTTAATGGTAAAATATTCACTCCTAGTGGACAGCTTAGCACTTTTAAATAAATATTTGACATTAAGTTGTTACATTTATGACTTAAGAATTTTATTTAGTCTAAGTACTTTAAACTTGGACAAGGAGGAACTGAAAATTGTTTGTATACTCCATAGTAAGTTGTGCCACTTGGTTAAGTTGTGTAAGTATGACATTACTTGAGATTCTAATGCTTTCTGTCTGAGTCATTCCATATACCTTAGTCTTTTGGTGGCAAAGGAGGTTGGCACATGGCTGCTGACTGGAGGTGGCAGATAAAACTGCAACTGTACTGCAGGAGAAACACATGCCAGTTTGCTCTTGTAAAGATTACAGCTTTGGAAACTATGGGATAGCTCTTGTGTAGGATTGACATAGGTTGGAATGAACTGAATGGAGTTGGGGTTATAGATAGAAAACTTGGCTACCTTAACTTTGGGGGCAAAAAAAAACCCTTTGTGGATCAGGAGTATTTTCTCTGGAATTGATGTAAAATGGTGGCTGCAGTATGCCAGTGACAATTGTGATGTTGATGTGGACACAGGTGTGTTTTAGTGAGGGGGAGGTGAGAACAGGTGCTGGGTGTAGCATCTCAGACCAGATAGTGACTTTCTTCTAGTATGCTGCGGCTCACCAGAAATGCACACTTGTTAGCCTGGCTGAGTTGGGTATCTTCCTCCTCCCACACCAGCCTTAGATCTGCTACTCCTCTGTGGTGGAGGATGGGGCGGTACTTCTCCAATCTCTGAAGGCTTATGTTCGAAGTGACAAAAGGCAATGCTGACTTGATATGGATAGTGAAAATAACCCTTGTGTGGGTCAACCACAAATAAAATTTTCTGTAATTTCAGGTAACTATGGTGGTGGAAACTATAATGATTTTGGAAATTACAGTGGGCAACAGCAATCAAATTATGGACCCATGAAAGGAGGGGGTAGTTTTGGTGGAAGAAGCTCTGGCAGTCCTTATGGTGGTAAGTTTTTTGCACCATCAGAAGTTTAAGAACCTTTTTAATGTTAAAAACGGTTTGATTAAAAACACTGCATGTCTTATTTCCAGGTGGTTATGGATCTGGTGGTGGAAGTGGTGGATATGGTAGCAGAAGGTTCTAAAATTTCAGAAGAAAAGGGTAGGTATATGTTTTCAATATTTTTTATGATGATAAAAATGTGTGGAATTGTTCACTGAGTGTAATAATTTTTTTATCCTGTATTATTCAACAGGCTACAGTTCTTAGCAGGAGAGAGAGCGAGGAGTGTCAGGAAAGCTGCAGGTTACTTTGAGACAGTCGTCCCAAATGCTAGAGGAGCTGTAAAATCTGCCACAGAAGGAGCGATGATCCATAGTCAGAAAAGTTACTGCAGCTTAAACAGGAAACCCTTCTTGTTCAGGACTGTCATAGCCACAGTTTGCAAAAGTGCAGCTATTGATTAATGCAATGTAGTGTCAATTAGATGTACATTCCTGAGGTCTTTTATCTGTTGTAGCTTTGTCTTTTTCTTTTTCTTTTCATTACATCAGGTATATTGCCCTGTAAATTGTGGTAGTGGTACCAGGAATAAAAAATTAAGGAATTTTTAACTTTTCAATATTTGTGTAGTTCAGTTTTTCTACATTTTAGTACAGAAACTTTAACAAAATGCAGTTTTGAAGGTGTTTCCTTGTGAGTTAACAAGTAAAGAAGATCATTGTTAATCACTATTTTGTATGAATTTTGCTAAAGTTAACTGTAAAGAAACACCTGCTGACTTGCAGTTTAAGGGGAATCTATTCTCCCATTTCCAAACCATGATACGAATGGGCGCTGACACGTGAAGAGAATAGATATTTGTATGTTTGCAATGTGTGTTTTAGATAACAACTAGGATTGGGTATTTCAATTAGTATATTTGTGAATTTAATAGCATTAAGATTTACCTTCAATGAAAAAAAAATCTCAAAATTCCTATATGGTTTTTGTGAATTTTCTTTAAAAATGTATTTCAGATATCACTTAGTGTTAGCCTTGCTAAGAGTCCTAGCTGTGTTCAGAAAATACACATTTACTTTGGTCACATTGGAACTGCTGCCATAATTTTATTTGAGTGTAACTGTCTGCTGCCCCTTGCTTAAATTCTGGAATGGGGTAGTGGTTTTTTTTACCCGTCGTTCTTACTTTAAAAACCATTCTTAAATAAACTTTAAAGTAACAGACCACTAAGACTGCTGTATCCAAGCACATTAGTGGTTATCTTTTAAAAACATTCTTTTTGAAGCACAAGAGGCATAACAAATCTTCAGTTTTTTTCCCTTGGTTTAATTTTTAAAAATTGATACAAGCTCGCAGAGCAAGAGAATAAAAATCATGCATTGTTGAACCCTTCACTGACTGGTATGCTTTCCTGTTTGCACTCTATGCATATTACTGGACGGAATCAAGTATAGTCTAGGTGTGATCATCCAAAAGAATTTACTGCAGCAGAAATGTAGCACGGTTGCTTAGTACAAGCTTCTCACTTCCTGAAATCGACCTGAGTTCAAATTTGAGTAATCACGTAAATTCCCAAAGAGCACACTTGTTATTTCACATGTATGTTTCAACCTAAATGATGTTGGTGTGAGTTACCCATGTGTTTGGATGACCCTGGTGTGAGAAAAGTTTTAGATCACATATATAAATGAATATGTCTGCTTTGCGCCCGCTAGTAATGCTTAACAACTTGATTTGAAATCTAAATTTGTGCCCTGCTGTTAATTTTCCTTGGACAATTGAACAATGAATTCAGAAATTCATGTTTTAAGTAGTACTAAGCAAAAAAAAAAAAAAAGCAATAAAAAAGGGAATGGGGTGTGTTAGTGTTTGAATATGCTCTCTCATTGCTCTAATTCTGTGCCTCTGTGCATAAATACTTGGATGCATGCAATGCCAGCATGGGAATCGGTCTTCACAGATAATACAGTTTTCCAGAACACACTCACAAACCAATAAATGTAACAGACAACATTCCATTGTTATGGGCATATGTGGATAAACAGCATAGATAAATAGGTTAAAATTTAGAAAATGGTTAAGTGCGTGTCAACTTAAAAGTGTTTTTATAATTGGACACTGTCAATGTTCATAACACCTTGGGGATCTGGTAAAAATGCTTTGGGAAGCATTTTATTAAAAGTGAGCTATATTGTCTCAAGTTCTTTCGTTCATATAATAAAGGTTGGAGGAGTGGGGGAAGGACAAACATTTTCTGTTGTTCTTGTTTGCGAAGTTGTTGGACACAACCTTGACAGTATCCTTTGTTCATGGTACATGAGGGTAATTGTATTGCTATAACACACACTTCTGGAAACTAGTTTAATAGTTTAAATCTTTTGAGTTGAGTAAGTTGGTGTTTGGAACCTATAAGCAGGTGAAGCTTGTGTATGACCTGTTTATAAGTTGTATTTAGCTTAGTTCTTGTGAAGAGTGGAAAAGTAAGCCATGAGGAGAGCGAATTAACCAGCTTTAAAGGACCCAGGATGTGCTTTTAAGCACAGTGGATCAAAGGAAACTCCCTAAGACAGGACTCTCAGGACTTCAGCAGCCATTTGAGTATGGACAAGTCAGCATAATAAAGAATGACGAGGCAGCAGCAAGAGCGTCAACTCCATGAAGTGGAGGCATAAGATACTGGTGATAGTGAGCGGCTTCCCAAGGCTAGTTAATCTGCTTATTACATCTGAAATAACGACAGAGCAGGAGCCCTTCGCCTTTTGGAGCATCAATGAGAGATAGTGGCCACAGCTCTAGGTCTAGCATTTAGACCTGAAAGGAAGGGCAATAAGCATTAGGTAAGGCCTGAATTTGAAATTTTTTTTTTCACTAATTGAAGAGTGATTTTTTGTAAAGCAAGGTAAGAGTAATCTTTTTGATTTGCAGGTTGAATGAGAACCCTGCTTGCCTAAATGAGGAATGTCTTTCCTACCGTCTTATATACGAAGGTTTCTGGCTGGGTAAGGTTTGTAGCTTACATACAGTAAAAGCTGTTGACACCATTTGCTTGCCTATAAATTTAATCTGTATTACATATTTTTAAACATTTTGTTCCTCTTCAATGGATGCATTGGCCAATTGCATCATTTGAATTTTTTTTTTCTAGGAATCATCTCACCATTGAACATACATGGGTGGATTTTAAAAGTCCCTTCAATTGCCATTATGTATTCATTGTGCCGGCACCCCTTTTGTTCCCCATACTAGGAATTGTTACCCTTAGGGTCAAGGTCATTTTGGAGAGGTTTTGTCAAAGAAAGTGGTAGCACAAGTATTGGTGCCAATCCCAGTGGAAGGAAAACATCTTGAGGGAGAACTTTAAATTGTCAGCATATGTACCTGGCCATCAGTGAAGTGGCTTCATTTCATGTGTGTGCCTTTGGTTGTAAGTTAAGTGGTGAGTTTTTAACAAGAGAAACCGTGGAACCTAATTACACATATGTTTCATTTTAAAAATAACTTCAAAAGGATAAAGTATTACTCAAGTTGGTTGCATATTTTCATAAGGTCCACTTTTGCTAAACAACATGACAAATCACTTTATGAAAATTTAACACTTGGGGGAGGGAGCAATGCTCAGTTTCTGAATCAAGTCAAGTACCTACATAAACTATCAGATAATTTCCCATGGCATGTATTCCCAGAAAATGACATTTGTTTGAAAATAGGACTTCACATCACCATGTGGAAAAAGTTAATTACATGACAGTGCAGTGTATGTCATGATTTTCCTTTAGGCTTTAAAGGTGCTTTTTCCATCCTTTATAGAATAAAATTGTTATACATAAATGGGCTTCCATTGTCATTTCTGGAAAATCTTATGTCTTAATCCTTTAGTTGCAGTAGCAAACGGAAAACGGGGTGGGGGTGGGATGGTGTTTAAAGTTACATCTTTAAAATTCAGTCTAGCCATCCCAAGTGTTATGTGCTTATTAGGACCACTTTTTAAGGGTCTAAACATTTGGAATACTTTAGAGTTGAAGTGTATACAATTTGAGACATTGCTACTGATGTAGAGTATCTGTAGAGTTGGAGAAGTTAATGGCATGTTAGTATGCTTATAAAGGGGTAATTAAGGATTGTTTACATGATTAAATTCTTTTTAAAACCGGGCATTTTAAGATTTAAAAGGCCTAATGGATTCAAATGTTCATTTGTAGTGCAATGCAATTGTTTACAGGAAAGTTCATTAAAATTTTAGAAATGTGTTTTGCTTCACAATGTAAACAATTTAGGTATTAGTATAACGTACAAGCGAATGAATTAATTTCAGAGTAAGGTTTTATGTTAGGATATTATAGGTCCTATCAGATAGAAAATAGGGACGGAAGGATAATGGGCATTGTCAAACTTAAAAGAATTAAAAGGTTTACATTGTAAAGCATTGGTTGCGTAAAAGGAATTGAGTCCTGCCTTAAAGTTGGGTATTGAGTGAACGGTGAAGAAAGTTGGAAATGCCAGACGGTGGAAGTAGTGTCGAGACTAGTTAAACATCAGTCCAAAGCTGATAACAGGCAGTAAGTAGCTCACAAGGTAAATTTTGCCCATTTTTCAAGTGAATTAAAGCCATGTTGGTAGTTTAAATACTCTCAAGAGTTTCAAAATGTAATCTGTTGTGAAGTTGTCCTAAGGGCAAGATGACATTCCACCAAAGAACAATTTACCTTTGTATCAGAATGAAAGCATTGACAGTTGGGCAACAAATTAAAACACGTGTTCCCATCACGGGCATAGAATTTGAGTTTTTCCTTGTTGCAAAAAGTTTGCACCTTTTACATAGGTTGACGGAGAATATTTGAAATGTTGAGTAATGCTTATTTGCATATTTTCCAAGTTTTAAGTGCAGTGAACTACATTCATGTGGTTGCAATTAAAGCACATTTTAAAAAGTGAAAATAGATTTAACCCATACTATAACAAATTCATTCTAAAGCAGCGGTTCTCAACCTATGGGTCATGTCCCCTTTGGAGGGCGAACAACCCTTTCACAGGGTTACCCAATTCATAATGGTAGCAAAATTAGTTCTGAAGTAGCAATGAAAGTAATTTGATAGTTGGAGTCAGTACAACATGAACTCTGAAAGGGTCGCAGCACGAGGAAGGTTGAGAACCACTGTTCTAAAGAAATGAGTAGATGTTTTGTGCAAGAATGGTGGCCTTAGAATTCTTTAAGTTTGTAAAATAAATGTATTCATTTCTACATAGTCACTACGTTTACAAAGGTGAGGGAATTCTCAAGTGTTTTAACTGGGAGCTAGGGGTGAGAATATAGGTCATTTCCATCAGTACTCTGAAAGTGATGGGCTAAATTTTTGTCACTAATACTTAAATAGGGAGTGGTGAAAGCTATTAAGTTTTAGTTGATATCCCAATTTTTTTTTTCAGTTTATTGAGTACGTGCACACGTGGTACTGGTTTTGCTTAGTTTCAGTATGAAATTCAGTACAAGTTTAAGAATCTTTAGCAAGTTTGTTGGGCTCTTAAATGCCAGGCTGCTTCCCTGGGGCAGTAGTTGATTTTCTATGCATACAATACAAAGCACATATTAGACACAAATGTCCTTCAATGAGGGACTGAGCAACATTTTATAGTATGCATTCCCCATGTTGGTTTAACACCAGTGGACTTATGATACATAAATTATATGTTGGGATAATTTGCAGTGCTAATTATGATGGAGGTTGATGGCCAGATAGTTTGAATACCATTTATCATTATGATGCCATTTTCAGTTAAATGTTAAATTTCCTTATCAAAATGACCTAACTGCTCAGTTCTGTCCACTATTAGCAGTTTGTAAAATGGAGATCCTGTCTCCACTCATGCCTCTGAAGATAAGTATTAATGGCCTTAAGAGCTTAACCTAGTATCTACCCTGAATCTAAAAATAGTGGTGGAGGGGAGTGGGGTGGGTAGCATTCCTAGGTCTTGCCTTGACTGTACGCTGAAGGGAACTAAACTTAATGGGTAACAATGTTTATGCCAATGTCATCTTCATGCTGGATTCAAGTTTTATAGCCCTGAAGACTAGTAATATTTATTAAATAGCAATGTAAATTATGTGCATTGGAAAGTGAAAAGAGGTATTTTCTGGAGGCCTAATGGTAGGTACACTGGTGTCCCATCATTTCCCAATTTAGAAATGGACTTAGGGACTTCACAGAGACATGTAAGGAAATGGGCTACATAAACAGTTGAAAGCAAAATTGGGGTATCTAAAGCTTTTGAGCACAAAAGTCCAAACCCCTTTTAGAATGAGAATTGGAACTAATTGGGAATTGCTTCAAGTGCTCATCCCCACCCCTTTTAAAGACAGCTGATTTCAAGTACTCCAGAAATTGTAGCTGATAAGGGGTTTTTTTTTAATTGTGATCTAAGATCCTAGTTTCTGGCCAGCGGTGTGTATTTAGAAATTGTTTTTAAATTGGGAAAGTAATGATTCAAGGAACTGTTCATTCCAACAATCTAGAGAGAAAAAAATTCAGCGAAATACTCAGGATGCAGAATCTTCGTGCTTCAATCCCTGGATCTAACACTTGAAAACTTTTGAGTCGTTATTTTACAAAAAGTTTATTTGACTTGAGTTTGAGAGCAATGGAGAGAATACCGTCAATTCAGTACAGTTAGTAGTATTCATTATAGATTAAGCTGCTACAAGAGGGTCCTTCAAGCAGCTAGCCACAAGGTCAGCAGTCAAAACTTACCAAGCTGTTCCGAGGGAATGTTCTACACACAAGGTTGAGTCTCAGATTTGCATGGGAAATTCTCTGTAGCGTTGAGTTATGGTAAGACTCCATGGCAGGGAGAAGTGAAAGGAAACGTAAGCACAATCACTGTAGCGGGTCTAGCCATAACCTTCACTACCTGATGAGTTTTTGCATCACTTAACCTGCAGGTAAATGTTTGAGGTTGCTTAAATGGTCACATGCCCATTTTCAACACAATTTTCAAGAGCTTAAATGTAGGCTCCTGAGATCCTGTGGCTGCTAACCAAAGGTTCACACCATTTCTTATGTGTTGGTATGGACAAAGTCCTGATCTTCAGTGACTTGAAAATCCAGATTAGTGTTCTATATGCTTGAGTAGCAGGATGACAGGAATGGGGAATTGCCAGGATGAAAATCCTGGAATGGGAGACTTGAAGGAGACCGAACCTTTGAGGTGCTTGATGCTGGATTATGGCCAGATCTGCAGGAGAGGAACGCACATTCAGCATGTAGTGGTTGGATGGCATCTTGCACTCCGTTATTTGTGACTGCCACTTTAAGATTTGGTTACTATTTAATGTGCTTGATGGGGTGAGATGCGGAAGTCTTTACTTGGAACACCTTAATCGGCTCTGCCATTGAGCCAATGCCTGCCTATTCATGGTGACCATAAGAGCAGAATAGAAATGGGTTTCTGAGGTGAATCTTTACAGGAGTTGAAAACTTTGTTTTTCCTTTCTGCACAACGCTGACATTTTCGTTAGTAGCCTAACCTAATATGCCACCAGGGATCCCTCCCTTAAAATTTTATTTCAGCAATTTAAACTTTGAAACACTCAACCCAGTGTCATCGCACCGTATCTGCTACCACCTGGTACAAGCTGCCATTTTATATTGGCTATGACACCACCCAATTAGTCTTTTTTACCTTCTGGGTTACAAATGCGATTGCTAACCACAAGATCAGCAGTTGAAACCACCAGCCGTGGGAGTGGGGTGTGTGTGTAGAGCTGGCTGCTCCTTACCACCACCTGTACAGTCCCACTCAAGGACCTTATGAAAGTATAGGAACCCCTTTACGGTACTAATAAAGGTCACCTGGAGTTGCTGAAAACGGGGACACCTGGCAAGTCCACACACTGCTAAGGCATTCATGCCCTGCCCTGGCTCTCTGATGTCCCCTCCCTCATAGCTAGGGAGAAGGCAGCTTTCTACACCTTTGGTTGCTTCTGAAAGCTCGGGCCAGCTTCGCCCTGCCCTATAGGGTCCCTATGAGTGCAGTGACTCCGTCTTTTTCCTCAAGGTAAGAGGAACCACTGCTGGGTTAGGTACTGGGCGAAGGCCAGTGGCACAAACCCACCAGTTGCTCGGCTGGGGAAAGGAGGCTGGCTGTGCCAATGAAGATACTCTGGGCAATTACCTAGGGTCACTATGAGTTGCAAATGATTTTGGTGATAATGAGTTTGGTTTTAGTTTTCTAAAGTCACGTTAGCATGTTTCTTTAAAAAAATTTATAGGAGGCTCATACAACACCATCCATATATCCAGTTTGTCAAGCACATTTGTACATTTGTTGCCCTTGAAACATTTGCATTCAACTTGAGCCCTAGGTGTATCAGATCATCGTGCCCCCCCCCCCCATGAACCCTTAATTTATTTTGTCATGTCTCATACTGTCCAACATCTCCCTTTACCCACTTTGCTGTTGTCTGTCCCCAGGGAGGGGGTTATATGTAGATCCTTGTAATCAGTTCCCCCTTTCACCCTCACCTTCCCTCCACCCTCCCAGTATCACCACTCTCACCACTGGTCCTGAAGGGATCATCCGTCCTGGATTCCCTGTTTTCAGTTATCTGTACCTCTGTACATCCTCTGGTCTAGCTAGATTTGTAAGAATTGGGATCATGATAGCTGGGGGGAGGAAGCATTTAGGAACTAGAGGAAAGTTGTATGTTTCATCATTGCTACACTTGCGCCCTGACTGGCTCGTCTCCTCCCCCACGACCCTTGTACTGGATGTCCAGTTGTCTACAGATGGACTTTGGGTCCCCACTCCAGACTGCCCCTCCTCAATGATAATGATTTTTGTTCTTTGATGCCTGATAACATCCCTTCAACACCTTGTGGTCATACAGACTGACATGCTTCCATGTGGGCTTTGTTGCTTCGCAGCTAGATGGCCGTTTGTTTACCTTTAAGCCTTTAAGACACCAGATGCTACCTACATCTTTTGATAGCCAGGCACCATCAGCGTTCTTCACATTTGCTCATGCACCCACTTAGCATCCATATTCTTTGTAGTCATGTCTGACAGGCCCCAGAACCTTTGTACTTGCTGTATTCTGTCAGAATGCTCAAGTTACTCTCCTACACTTACACGTTACCTCTATGGATTTCCTACTTACAAGCCTAATTTAAATTGCAGTGTTTTCCATTGGCCTTCCCAGTCCTCTTGTATTCTACTAGTGTATGTTTGTTGTCCCCTGGCCTCCAACATTAGCATGTCCACTCCCAGAAGGCAGCCATTTCTGTTTTGTCCATTTTGCCCAACACACGAATCTCTTGAATGTTTTCTTAAGGTATACCATTTTCTTGTAAGACATACCTGTTTACATCACTGGCACCCTAAGTTTAGTATAAAATTTACATTTTCAAGTAAAACTGATGGAAATGCAAACCATCTTAACTGTTAAATGTATTATTTAATGTCTTGTAGAAAATGCATGAATAAAACTTAAATTCAGTCATAATATCCCTTTATTAGTACCAGCTTTTAAAATGGCAGTGTTTGTTTTGCCAGAGCTAAACAATTTAATATAAAAATCATTTTTTGTGTTCATACAGTATTTATAAAAAAAGGTATATAGTGGTTAGTTTTGCAGCAATTTGCTCTTTGCCAGATAGAGATGCCTTGTCACCATACAAATCTAGAATGTAACAAATGAGATAGTAGTAGTATAAATAAAGTTTTTCTAGTATTTACACTTATACAGAGAGTAGCCCAAAGGGTGTCATGAGAAACTGCAGTTAAAGTGAAACTACTGACTCAACATACTGGAAACTTTTATTTTAATGCTTCTGAAAGTTTTATATTGCCTACACTAGTTTTGGCTATAATGTTGCATAGAATTACTTAAAAAGTATGATATTTCTGCATTTCACATCACAGTAGGAACTTTTAATATAACAGTACAAAACAAAAACAAGAAACCCACTAGCTCAGAAAAGGTCACATCCTTCCAATATCTACTTTTTCTTAACATCTGGCTTCTTACTTTTGGGGACAAGGAATACATTGCCATCTCGAGTTTGCTGCAGGGAGTATTCACTGGGGGAGTATGGCTTCCCGTCTTCATCCCGGAGCATGCTGAACACCTCAAGGTACAAGGTGCTGAGCTGTTTTTTCAGTAGGTGGAGGCTTTTGTCATTTTCTCCTTTTTCTTTGAGCAGTTTTTCTTTTTCATCTTTTAAGTGATCCAAATCTTGCTCTAGTTCTACTATATTTTCCAGTTTTCTTTTTCTGCAATTCTGAGCAGCCACTTTATTCTTACCCCTCCTACGTATATCTCGAATTAATGCAAGTTGAGCTTCATTAAATTGCTCTTTGGACATCATTTCATTGAAGTCATCCACAGGGAGGTTAATGATTTTTTCTACAGGGAATGGTATATGGAGAGCTTTCGCCTTCAGCTCATCTCTGGTGAGATTCTCCAGGCAGTTTGAGTGTTTGTCTTTTGTGAATGGGGCTTTTCGACGTCCAGGGCTTACAGGCAATTCTTTCTTTGGGGTGTTTTCCCCCTGGGCATCAAACACTGAAGCACTGTGCCCTGGAGAGGGTGACAGGGCTTGGGTTGTTTCCCCAGAAGATTGTACTGGCTGTGTTTTAGGACCATTCTGTTTGACACTTTCAGGGGTACCATCTCTCTCTTCCATTTCAGAATCACTGAAGCCAAGAGGTGTATCTGCATAGATGGAAGATTCTACTGAGTGTTCCGGTGATGCCATGCTGGGACTTGTGTTCAGTGAAATGCCAGAGTCAGAATCGTTGAATTCTGCTGTGCTTTCAGAGTGGTTTGGGTTGAAAGCTTTACAGAGTGACAGGTCAGAAACATCAATGGGCCCACTTAGAAGTTCAGAGAGTGACTGGCTTAAAGAGGCCGAGGGGGGCATGCTGTTGCTGGTACTGGGCTCTGCTATAAAAGCAGAATAAAATTCATCACCAAAATCAGAATTTATTGTGGCGTTTGAATTTAATGAGTTCACGGTGAGCTGGTTGGGGTCATCTGCAGGTAGGACGCTGCCAAAGAAATCTTCAAAAACATTGACAAAATGCGGACTGCTGTCACCTACTTCTTTTTCCATTGAAGGGATCGATGGGAAAAAATAATTGTTGTCAATTTCTGTCAGTTCCGTTTCTGGGCTTGCAACTGTGCCGGCCTCAACTAGCTTGTCATTTTGAATATTAAGACACTGCATGAAAAAAAAAGTTCAGAGTACATTAACTATGCTAAGACTTGGTGGTTTTAAACCACTTAATAGCGATAATCCATAGCCACTGTGAGTTCAGGCAAACTCTCGCCCCACCCCCCAGCCCCACCCACCTGCCCCCTTCTCTCCAAGCTGGTCTATAATTTTATACCTAAGCCTATGTATTTTCAGAGTTCCTAGATCCGACTTAAGGCTTATAACCTGATCCATCCTCAATATATCTAGCCCATTTAACTTAAAAAAGTTCACAATAAGAACCTGGGCCACCCTCATGACTAACTTTAAAATACCCTTCAATTCTTTCTGTAAGTAGGAGCCAGATAAATAATGAATCACTTGAATGACTAACGACAGTATAAAATAGAATCTAAGGCATTATATTAGACCTTAGTTACCTGTAATTCTGGAATGGATAGTAGTTCCTCCCAAACTTGATCAACATCCTGCAGCATATTGTCTAAATGGGGAAGGGTTGTCTGAAGGACAGGTGTTTCTGGTGACTGAGTCTGACTAGGAGCAATGAAGACTGGACTCTCCACGTGGCTGGGAATATCAGGAACAAGTGATTGAAACGGAGCTGAAGAAACCTAAAAGTGACAAAGAGTCTGAGTCTGCTACCAACAGTGAAAGGTGAGCTTCACAGCAACACCGTGGTACCTTCAACTAGAACCAGCTTCAGTCTCCTCCTACTCTACTCATTGACACTTAGGTCCCTATTTCTGCATCATGAAACAACTTATTTTTACCTACTGACTCCAAATTTACTCTGTATTTAGCCTAATTACTTGATTCAGTCTGTGCGATCTTCAGGATTTGACACAGATCCGTCTATATAATAACCAGTACAAGGTTTCAAACAATCAGTTTATTGAGCAAGGATTAGTTTATTACCTGCAACAAATGTGTTCATGGTTATGCTGACCCATATTTCTGCCTAGGAAGTAGTAAAGGTTTTGAGTTTGGTGTGTAGGATTTTTTTCCTTAACTGCAAGGTTCCCCTGACAAAAATTTCCCCTGGAAATAAGGTTCCCTGCCCCCTTCATTTTTTTTTTTTTTAAACTGGAGAGATCGGGCCTGTTAAATTTCATTCTAGGTTTGTGGTGAAACCACGTTGTATACCTCATTGTTCTCTACAAGCGGGAATGTCTCTGCCAAAAGCTGCATGCAATCATCGAAGTACAACGCATCTGGCTTGGGGATGTGAGCGACCTGGGTAAGAGAAAGGCACACGGAGAAGAACGTTAAACGCACTACTGCCAAGCAAGAGCTTCATGATTGGGGAGCACAGAATACTTACAAGGTAGTGCAGCAAATGACGTCACAAATCCATTAAGTACAGTAGTAATTCGGAGCACAGACTAACACCAGAAGGCCTAGGGTTCAAATCCCAGCTGCCATGCCCACCCTTGCCTCAACTTTTTGAGTGCCCTAGGCATGTTTAACCTACCTGAGGTTCAACTGCTCATCTGTAGGTACAATTGAGAAAATGTACCGAATTCATATAGTTGATTATGTTGAATCAGTTGCTCATACATCAAATGCCTGGAGCATTGTACCATAAGTAATGCCTATCACTAGTTCTATGGAGCCCTGGTGGCATAATGGGTTACACATTGGGTTGGTAACTGCAAGGCCAGCAATTTGAACCCACCAACTGTGTCAGAGAAAGGAGGGGCTTTTCACTCCCATAAAGATTTACAGTCTTAGAAACCCACAGGGCAGTTCTCTGTCTTACAGGATTGCTATGAGTTGGAATAGACTCAGAGGCAGTGAGTTTGGCTTCGTTTATCCTAGTTCTACAGTTGCCGTTCACTACAGTAGCCACTACTTGGTCCTTCAATTTCTATAGTTTACAAGCTCATAAATAAAATTTATGTCCTCCCAGTTCCCACAATGACTCCATGAGGTAAGTGGCCCCAGGTGATGAACTGATACGGAGGCTGAGATTGGTAAACTGACAAAGTCACAGCATAGTTTGAGGCCACGCTGGAACCCAAGTCCTGATGTTTGACTCCTTTGGTGATATCTTTCCCTGAAATCCCGCCATAGGCTTTCCCAAGAACTGAGTCCTCTGTACCTGGGAGTAGGTGGCCGATCCACTGATTTCTGACTGGATGTGCTGGGCTGGCTGAATCGGGATGAATTCTCCTGTCTCTTCATCTAGTTGTAGCTGAGCGAAGAAGGCCTTTTCTTGCTCCTTTTGGAGTTGTTCTTGTCGTTCTTTTTCAAGTTTTTTCTGTTTTTCCAGCTCATACTCCTTGCGCCGCAGACTGAAGTCGAATACCTCACGGCTCACCCCAAGATCTATATCTTGTCTCCAAAGTATGTCAATCAAATCCATGTCCTATGTTGAAGACACACAAAAAGAGGAGAAAGATCATGGTCAATGGTTTTTAAGTGCCAGATACAGAAATTAATCAACACTGCCACTGTTAGGTGCACTGGTGGCGCAGTGATTACGCAGTGGGCTGCGAATCCTAAGGACAGTGCTTGGAAGCCATCAACTGCTCCGAGGGAGGAAGATGGTTTTCTACTTCCATAAAGAGTTACAGACTTGGAAACCCACAGGGGCAGTTCTACCCTGTCCTATAGGATAGGAACACCACGAGTCGGGATCAACTTGATGGCAGTGAGCTTTTTTTCCAGTATGCCACTGTTGATGGGGGTAAGGGGTGGGGGGAATTTACAAATAAAGCCTGAATGAGACCATAGATCCGATGTTCTAAGAAGATGCAATCTGATTTAATTAATGAATCAGTTTATTAAAAGAAGGTAAAAAGCTAAAAACAGCCATCCATCTTATCATTCACTACTTGTTTTACTAAGTGATGTTACTGTTGTTGTGACTCTGTCATTGTTCTGTCTGTAAACCTTTTAAGAGGCATCGAGTCGGTGCTGACTCATACATAACATAGTGTGCACAGCAGAATGAAGCACCAGCATCCTCAATTGTTCTTATGTTTGAGCCCATTGATGCAGCCACCACTACCATTATGGGTGATGGTCACTAAAGAGCAAAGTAACCAAAGTTGCACATTTGAGTGAATGAAAAACCGTGTACTTGTTTGATAGACTAGGAGAGTGAGTACTAGACACCATTCATTGGTTTATTGCTAGAAATGCAGGTTGGAGACAGGATTGAATGCCTACACCAATTTGGCAAGTACCTAGTTTACATTGGCTAAGACCTCTGTTAAACTGTCAATCCTGCCGTTATAGAATACCATTATTTGACATTGGATAAATTAACTCATTATTTCTTACTACTCTGTGCCTCCATTATTAAGACAATTTCCTCTTGACTTGCTTTTTAGCTCTCAAGGAAAGCAAGACGGTAACGAGCAATTCTGGCTCACAACAAATTTCCCCCCACAAAAAAACAACCTCATAACTCATGTGTGACTTAAGTGGTAACTATCAGAGGAGCTGGGGGAGGGGCCTCATTCCTGAATTACCAAGTTCATTCCTCAGAAATCATAAATGACCTCCCTTAAAGAAATGTTCCCAGGAAGGACTGATTAAAGATAATTGATATTTAAAGATATGAGATTCTTCTAAGGAGGGGAATGGTTAATTTTGATTTAATTAGAGATGAGAATTTTGGATTACATAACCAGGGTAGGTACCACATCCACATTTCCCTAAACACTATAACATTTTTTTTCTACAAAACGAATGTTAACTAAAATCTAGAGTCATCCAAGGAAACTTCAAGCTCACTGCCATCACATCAATTCTGATTCATAGCAAACCCTACAGGGTAGAACAGAACTGCTTTTGTGGATTTCCAAGACTAAATTATTACAGAATTAGAAAGCCTCATCTTTTACAGAGTGACTGGTGGTTTTGAACTGTTGGCTTTGAAGTTAGCAACCCAGTGGGTAATCCACTAGGGCGCCTTAAACAATGGTAGGAAATTCAAATTAAGTTATGTCTTATCTAGAGAAGCTATAAGAAATACCACAAGTTGGATCAGTTATCAGGCATCAAAGAAAAAAATCATATCGTGTGCTCACTTTCCCGATGCAATCGCTGAAGACAAATGGTGCATGAGCAAATGTGAAGAAAGCTGATGGTGCCCGGCTATCAAAAGATAAGCGTCTGGGATCTTAAAGGTTTGAAGGTAAACAAGTGGCCATCTAACTCAGAAGCAACAAAGTCCACGTGGAAGAAGCACACCAGCCGGTGAGATCAGGTATCAGGCATCAAAGAACAAAAAATCATATTGTGAATGAGGGGGAGTGCAGAGTGGGGACCCTAAGCCCATCTGTAGGCAACTGGACATCCCCTTATGGAAGAGTCGGACAGGAGACGAGCCAGTCGGTGCAGTGTAGCAACGGTGAAACATACAAATTTCCTCTAGTTCCTAAATGCTTCGTTAACCCCCAACCATCATGATCCCAATTCTACCTTACAAATCTGGCTAGACCAGAAAATGTACACTGGTACAGACAGGAACAGGAAACGGGATCCAGGATGGATCCCTTTAGGACCAGTGGTGAGAGTGGGGATACAGGGAGGGTAGAGTAGGAGGGGGGAACCAATTACAGGGATCTACATATAAACTCCTCCCTGGGGGTCGGACAATAGACAAGTGGGTGAAGGGAGACGTCGGACAGTATAAAATGTGACAAAATAGTTTGAGTTCTGAAGGGTTCATGAGGGAGGGGGAGGGGGGAAAGGGTGGAAAGGAGCTGATGCCAGGGGTTGTAGTGGAGAGCAAATGTTTTGAGAATAAGGGTGACAAATGTACAGAAGTGCTTGACACAATGGATGGATGTATGGATTGTGATGAGTTGCATGAGCCCCCAATAAAATGATTAAAAAATTAAAACAAATACCACAAGTAGATGGCTTTAATGAACAGAAACTTAAATCTCTCGCAGTTTCTGAGGCTGGAAGTCTGAATTCAAGATAGTGGCTTGAGGGGACGATCTCTTTCCAGCTTCTGTCTCTTATGTTCCTTGGCAATCTACATATAATGTGACATCTACCTTCTCATTTGACTGGATCTGCTCTTTTTAAAGGTCAAAAGTGATTAAGTTACAACACTCTACACACTGATAATGGCCTCGTTAACATAGCAGGTATCCTGTTCCCAAATGGGATTACATCTGTAGGTATGGGGACATCATTCAATCCATTTTGGTTTTCATTGAACAAGCCATCTATCTTGGAAATAATCGGAGGAAATTGAGATTCTGGAAAGATCAAGAGGCAGGGGAATGGGATTTAGAATCTGAAGTCCAGTGGATACAATGGGCACAGATTCAAAGCTTCATCTCTGTTCCCCTGTGGCTGACAGTGCTGGCCTGTCCAGTATATGCAGAGCTCTACACACCCTCTCAAGGATAAAAAGAACAATTGTTGCTCCAATGAGCAGTCAACTATTTTTACCCAACAAAGAACCAGGCCACTAAGCACAGCTTGCTGGAAGGGTTGAGAGCCCCCTCTATGTTCGACTAAACGTTGGTGTTGGTTTCTTCCATGCTGTGAAACCCTGCCCAAGGGGTTCAACATTGTAAGCTGGAGGAATACAGTGCAGCTACTCCTCACTCATCGACTACCTTGTTATCTGACATCTTGCATTTATAACATAGTGACAGATCTTTTTCCACCTAACAGACTTTGTCAGGTAGTAATGAAATGCTCAGGTGTGAGGCAAGTGTCATGCTGACTGTGATGGTTAGTGAAGGTTATGCGTCCACTTGGCTGGGCCATGATTCTCAGCAGTTTGTCAGTTATGGAATGTTATAATTAGGGAGTTATGTAATACTGAAATCTGGCAGTCATGCAATGATGCAGTTATCTTCCATTTTGTAATCTGATGTGGCCACCATCCATTTTTGCATGAAACCCACTTTCCTGTAGTGACCTGTTCTTTGAAAGTGCACCATGCCAGTGAGGAGTGGGTGTGCATGGTGTAGCCCATACGCAGTCAGGTTCAGTGAGAGTAGCACCTGATCGCCTTCAAACTGCCTAAGGCGCCTAAGAGGATCATTTTTAAGCCAGTATCTATTCAAAGCTGCCTCTCTGCCAAGTACAGCTCTCTGTACTTTATGTGTGCAAACATACTGAAAGCAACCATGTAAAGATAAATGTTATTATCCTTATTTTACCGCCGAGGGCACTTCTTTTCAGTGAAATTAGAAACTACAGATCTAGTGCCCTACACATAGATTTTTCACCACAATGGTGCTATCTGACCAAGAAATGGAAGAGGTAATTAATGCTGTTATATCTACCAAATGCCATTACATTCTAATTTCTCTCCCTTTAAGTACCAGTTGCCTTTAAGTAAATTCCAACTCATTTTATTAGTTTGAGACTGTCCAGAGTTACCTTGATCTACTTTAGAAAAATCAGCAACCAATGGCTGATTTTTCTGAAGTTGATCAAGGTGACTCTGGGTAGCCTCGGACCTTCAACATTTCAGTTAGTAGCCAGCTAGGTTAACTATTGGTACCACCCAAGGACACTCCCTCTCTAGAAAATCCAAACAGCTTGCTGCCATCAAGTCAATTCTGGTTCAGAGTGATACAAGGTTTTTATGAGTGCAGACAGCCTCATGTTGTGAACCACTACTCTGTTTTAAAGTATCATCAGAACCCGTCCCCTCTGGCGTCAAAGAACAAAAAATCATTATCATTGTGTGCTCACCTCCACGATACGATCACTGAAAACAAGTGGGTGCATAAGCAAACGTGGCGAAGAAAGCTGATGGTACCCGGCTATCAAAAGTTATAGCGTCTGGGGTCTTAAAAGGCTTTAAGGCAAACAAGCGGCCATCTAGCTCAGAAACAACAAAGCCCACAGAGAAGAAGCACACAAGCCTGTGTGAACACGAGGTGTTGAAGGGATCAGGTAGCAGACACCAAAGAACAAAAACCATCATTGTGTGACCACCTTCCCCACATAAACGCTGAAGACGAATGTGTGCATAAGTAAGTGTGGTGAAGAAGGCGGGTGGTGCCCAGCTACGGAGACCTATAGCGTCTGGGGACTTAAAGGCTTGAAAGTAAACAAGTGGCCATCTAGCCCAGAAGCAACAAAGCCCACATGGAAGCAACACACCAACATGTGTGATCATGAAGGGCCGAAGGGACCAGGCTTCAAGCACCAAAGGCGGGGGAGAAAAAAAAATCATCGTGAATGAGGGTGGCGTGTGATGGGGACCCAATGCCCATCTGTAGACAACTGGACATACCTTGCAGAAGGGTAGTGGGAAGGAGATGAGTCACTTAGGGTTCAGTATAGCAATAATGAAACCCACAACCTTCCTCTAGTTCTTAAACGCTTCCTCCCCCCAACTATCATGACCCCAATTCTACCTTGCAAACCTGG